GTGAGGTGGTGCAGGCTCCCACCCTGGGGGTTTTTAAGAGGAGGTTGGATGACCACCTTATTGGGGTCATTTGACCCCAGTGCTCTTCCTGCCATGGCAGGGGGTCGGACTAGATGATCTGCTCAGGTCCCTTCCGACCCTAGAAACTATGAAATTATGAAACTATATTTTTGCTCTAGAGCAAAACTTGCAGCCTGAAGTGTGCCAACCTCAGCTGAGGCAGGTGGATCGCTCTCATTTTTGTATCAAACTCTTTGGATTCATGTGAAAGAACCGGTTTCTACCCTGCATCTCTGCTGCACCTTAATTAATTGTCACTCATTTCGTCCTTGCGTTACGGTGCAACAACAAGCAGCTGGCAGTTCAGGCATGCTCAGTCTGAGTGACCTTGTGCTCTCGTAGCGTGTTTACCACATAATCAGCACGGAATTCCATTTTCAAAATACAAGACTTCCTAATCCATCAGCACCAGAGATTGGCCCAGAGCTCTGGATTTACTAGTCACATGTACCGAGGAATAAAAATATAAGAGTATGCAGCTAAATTAATCTCTGGGCCTGAAAAAACGTTCCAAGCCACCATGTGTACAGTAGCTGCATTCAAATTTGCCATGTACATACTGACATCATGCCCCAGAACTATGACTGATCCCTTTTCTACTGTATATAGAGGCAAAATTAAATGCTGTCTATTTCGAGGCAAATTTGTCTATTTAGAGGCAAAATTAAGTGCTATTTATAATTAACCGGAGGACAGAGCTATGTGATAGAAAAACCTGGAAAGTGGAGTTACCTATTTGTTTCATAAAAGGAAAACAAGTACAGATATTTGTATTAATGCAAGCACAAAATGCATCTTTTCCTGTTGTTTTTAAAAGGCAGAAGTCTATCCCCCCCCCCCATTCTAAAACAAAGCTTTGGGTAAGTCCAAGCAGTTTAGCTCACAGTCAAGTTCAATAAATCAGAGAAAAGAATCAAATGGAAAGCATTACAAAATGTAACCTTGGCAACACAGAAAATGCTTCAAAAGAACTTATGCTCATTTGCTTTATTTGCCGCTTCTGAAATTGGACTGTAAGGGGGGTGGGGAATACACGGGCTATTAGCATAGATACATGGATATTAGCATCAGGACTCTGCAGCTAAGCCTAAAATTGCATTCATGCTCTTGGAATGCATCTTGTTCAGTAGCCCTTTAAAAAAATTGCAGCTAGGCAATTTAGAACCCTAAAGACTAATTTCAAGGTGACAAGATTGAAAATGGAAATGTTCAATAATAATAATAAAAAAAATCTGTGTTCACTCTTCATACCCATACACAGTATTTTAAAGTACTTTAGTCCATGCTTTCCCACTAACAAAATAAGACGAGTGCAATTAGGTTGTCATTTGAGAAGACTCGCTACACAGATTTTCTATATGCAAGGGCTTAGAAAAGACCAATCTATGTCAGCCACCATTACATGGTGTTTGCTGGCAAGTGTTGACTTTTTAATGGCAACCACCCTCACTTCTCTGTCAGGATAAATCAGCTCTTGCTTGCATAAAGAAGAAAAAAATCTAAAATGTTTGGTAAAAATGTTCTAAAATCTGGATGTTTGCTCAAGTTTTATTCACACCGTCTTGGAAAAATACTATTACTTGCAATACACGCTGAGAATATTCAAGTCAACGAGATACATTTGTCTGGTTACATAGCCCCCTTTAGGAAGCTGGGAAGTGACAAACCGAGGGACATGAATAAGAAATATTTGGCAAACTTTACATACCCTCTACAAAGGCCAGCCCCAGTCTGCATTTGGGACAAAGACTCCGTTAATTTATTATAGGCATCTATACACCTTTAATATGCCAGTTTTCAGTGAGGAATTTTCTAGACTTCTCATGTTTTTTATTCTGGTGGACTTCTTTGCATGCAAGTTTTTCCTATTGTTTATTTTCTACTTGAATTAAGGATGATGTTCCGCTAGTGACAGTGTCCAGTTTCCATGGTGACAAGCTGTGATGTCATAAAAAGTGTTGCAATTTCACAATTTGATCACCATCATGAAAAAAGTCAATCTGAAGAAAGAAAGGTCCTGCTCTTCTTCAAAGGCTCTAATCACTAACGCAACAATGAGGGAAAAGCAACAGACCGTACATGACAACTACACAGCACTCTTCCCAAACCAAACGTTTATTCAATTCTATATACAGCGTCAACCACCACTGGTAAATGACAAGTAGCTACTAAGTGATGGAACTTCGATATGTACCTAATATCCGATTGCTCCAAAGTAAAACCAACAGATCAGAAGCCAAGAACAAAGTGGTTTCGATGGCAATATCAATCACTCTCCTTCCGTCCCTTTCAAGACGGCCGTAACTGCCCTCTGGTCCTTTCCACGATAATCCGTTCCAGAGTAATCCATCCATTATGCTCCTTATCTCAGTCAATCCATAGGCTTTTTACCATGAGGAATCAAGTACTCCCTGGGCACATCTGTATGTGTACTTTAATGAGCATTTGCCTACTTTAATCCACATTAAAGTGTCACTAAAACATGCTGTTTAGTTAATGTGCATTAAAATAGGTTAATGTGTAACTTTAAAAATGTGCTTTTTGGTTAATGCACATTAAGACAGGCTAATGCAGATTTTCCTAGTACTTCAAAATGGAGGTACCAGATTTAATGTACATTAACTAAAGCATCTTAATGCACATGTAGACATGCCCCCTATCTACCCAAGCACCATGCGCATCTTTTTCTCCACTGTCCCTAGAGGCAAGAACCCCGTTGTTGTAAATCATGGCTCCCACATAGTATTGCACACCATCACTTAAAAGACCACCTCTAAATGTATTTAATGTTTTTACATAAAATTCCCCATGTGAATTGTTTTTCTTACTTACAAGGCACAGCATGGCGATAAAGGTTATCTCTAATGGTCTGCTGCAGCTCGTGGTCTGGAGATCCTTTCTGGAACCTCTGGTTGAGATAATGCCTCAGATCTTTGTTCAGTCTACTTCCTGCAACGAAAGCACAGGGTTGTTAGGTTTTTTGTTTTTTTTTTTAAATGCAAGAGAATTAATATTAGCAGCCTAGGCAAATGTTAGACTTCCATTCATATCCCCTTAAATTATGGCATTCTGACTTTACGAGCAGAGGCTCATCTTCCTCTACACATGGCTAATTACCAAAAATAACTCGCTGTAAACAAGAGGTCTCTCTTGTCTCATAACCTCTCTCTCTTCCTGCTGGTGTTAAAACAGATCATAATTCCCTGTGATCACTTATTTGTCTGAACAAACAGAGGAAGACAGATGACATGAGAAAGAAAATACTAATACTAATAATAATAAAGATAGTCTGACTCTTATAATTTACCAGAGAATAATCAGGGCGCACAGACAGAAGGCAACGGCTGTCACAGAAGATGCATCAATACAGCCCGAAGTGGCACATCAGCAACCACTGCCAAGCTTTTTGCTACTATATCTATGTCACTAACAAAGTTAGAGAAGAAGAGGTGAAAAGTAATAAGAATTTTCCATTTCTTCTGCCAACTACCACCACCAGCATTAAACATTAATAGCTAGTTGTTATGACAAAATAGGTTTTTATTTATCACATTACTGCTAAAAAAAAAAAACAAACCCCAAAAAACCTGGTAGATTTTATTGGAAGTAAAAAAGCTAGGTTGTCTTTTTTTTTTTTTAAAGATATAAATTTTCTGTTTTTTTATAATGGGACACTTTTGTTCCTCCAACCAATATAGGATAACTCACAATTTCACAATGCAAGACCATTTGGAAATAGCCACGTAGTGCAGAATACATACTTTGTGCAATAAAATACAGGTGTCTGTTGCATTGTTTCTAAAATAACAAGAAGGAGCAGGGAATTTATAGTTAAAACATCATGGGAGAAGGGATGTCCCTGGCCTAGTCAATTAAGAGCATATAAAGTATTGTTAGTCAAATGTCTACCTGCATCTTACTGTATACACCCCAAGTCCTTAAAACCCTGACATTCCCCTCTCTTTAGTTGTAATCCTGCTACGTCAAAATTTGGTTTAGATATGAAAAAGAATAAAATCCTGACATTTCTGTAGAGTTTCTGGTACACAAAGCTTGTAAATATATATACATTAAAATTATGCCACAAATATTAAAATGTTGCATTTTCTGAACTGATTTAATCAGTTGAGACTAAATGATATACTTTATTTTAGGTTTCACAAGAGACAAGTCAAAAAATAAGCAAAAGGGGCGATTTGTGCAGAAAATATGATAGAACCAAAACTATTCCATTTCTACAGAAACCTTCAAGTGGTTCTACCCCTTTCACTATGCAAAGAAGTGAAGAAATGGGAAGCCTGCTCTTCGTAGTGCATAGGCAGGAAATGATCAGCCAAGCAGTGATAGGGCTGGGTGAGAAACAATTTTCCTGTATGAAGTTGAGATGAAGGACTGGATCTTAAGAGCTGATGGTACAAAAAAAAAAAAAAAAAATCACCTTGGCATAGCTGGACTGCAACTCTTCCTTAATTTATTTTAATGATGAAGGAACTTAAATTTTAAACCACTAGCATAATTTAGAGCTCTTTCAAACTTCACCATCCATTATGCTCTCAGTTCCTCCTTCCCAACATAAGTGGTTTTTGCCTTCTAGCCAATGCTACAAGGTGATTGTGTGTCTGAATTACCGAGTCAGCTCCAGTTCAGTAGATAAGATAGTAAAGGGAGATTCAGCCACCTTATCAAATACATACTGAAATTGCTGGCTCGAGTAATCGCTGCTGAAATCTAACTACCCAAAGCAGTTGAACTCCAACACAAGGATATAAGAATTCAAAGCTGAACATGTTTCATTTAACCAAGTCAAATGCTGCTTTCATTAGATCTAAATGGGATGTGACCGGGTGGAGTGGTACTACACAGAGGAGGCTTTCACTTGGGATGAAATGGCATGCAATTTCAAAATCTGCTTCTACGGATATTGAATTACAGACCCAAAGCACTGATAGAGATTAATACCAAGAACAATTTTACTGAGGCCTACCTATTTGCCCTCCATTTTCAGTTGCTCAATCCCTGTCCATCATGACTCAGTCAGTCAGTCACACACACACACCTCTAGAGACACCAGGTGTGGGAATGGAGATAAATAAGCAGAAAATTAAAATTAATTGTTGCTGATGTGTTACTCATTGCTGAAGCATCGCAAGTTTTCCCTAATAGAGCATAGGAATTGGAGCAAATTAATAAAGTATCTTGCCAGATATTAAATATTTCAAAATATGAAATGAAGGTTGGCATTAATTTAATGAGACAGCAACAACTGACTGCTCAGGAGGCTGTACAGAATTTGGTTAACGTTTCCTGCTTTCTAGCACCTACACGCTGATTTATTTAGATCGCAAACTGTCTGAGCACATGGCTTGTATGCCTTGCATACTGGTTGCAGATCTGAGTTGGAACTTTTAGGCATTGCTACACTACAATTTAACAACAGTTCAATAGACGGACTGCAGTTCAGGAGGGGCGGGGAGGGGAAGCCAGTGAGTGATTCTATCAAGCCCTGTTGAATGAACAGGAGTTAGGAATATCAAACAGGCATAAAACATTTCTATCAACTCTATAACAGGATTGTATTGGTTTTGTTCTTACAATAGAACAGTTTTAAAAATGTAAGTAGATTTTTTGCAAGAAATCTCAAGAGTGAACATCGGGTGATCTGTATATAACGCAGACGCTTTGCCTCAAAAGCATTAAAAATTTTGGTTTTGGGGTTAAGGTTAAATTTATTACTGAGGAAGAAAAGGTTTATGTAGCCACTGAGACATGAAAACAAGGAAAATTCTGCACTGTCAGCACCCATTCTTCCCAAAGAATATGAATCGTACTGCTATTTTTGTTCATATTGGATTCATCTACATGTGGGGCAGACTGCGCAATTGTTACTGCACAGTCCTACTGCAGTACAGTATTTTTTTTAGCTGCTATTGTGCAGTAGGGTCGCTGTCACGGTTTGTGCCCTGAGATGCTATGTCACTGTAGCAATGAGCCACGGCATAGTAGCTTGTTGTATGGCAACGTAGCATCTCTTGTAGAAGTGCCCACTGAAAATAAATAAATAAACAAAAATAAAAAATCAATCAATGGACATATTTTCTGGTTAAATATTCATTCACAGACTGGCAGGCACTTATAATACCGTAGCTAAAGCTAAGTTTGCAACATTTAATTTAAAAACAACCATCTCCTATTGAGTTATGCAGAACACTACTCCATCAGAGAATTGCACTACTAAGCATTGCTCTGGGAGTTGAAAGGGAGCCATTTTTATTACACCTGCTGACTTACCACTAATGAGCTCCCAGTAAAGACGGTCAAAAAAAGCATGTTTTCTATACTGCTCTATCACATACTCATGTGTTCCCTTCTATTCCACTCTTCACAAAAACCAAATGCATTCATTGTAGAAAAGCTTGAAATAATTAAGCCAAAATTAATGCAAATTACATTGGTTCATTATACTTTCATGACTAGTTTCTCACTAGAAAGAGCAGTGGATCACCATCTTGTTTTCTAACAAACAGTGCCTAGTTATTATCCAGCCAAGAATGGTTTCTTGCTTTGAGCTTAAGTTGTAGAGAGTGGTAGAGGGGTAGTTTTTTTACTGTAGCTTTCAACCCCTAGAAGTTCATGCAACTCTGTGATATTAAAGGACATGATCTCCTCTTAACTCTGGAGGGAGATTATGCATGGGGGTGGGGGAAATGAGCACATACTAACATAGTAACTTTTTCTGTGTTTTTTTTTTCAATTTCAACAAAAAAAAGACTTTTCTCTGAAGTGATAATCTTCAACAAGGGAGACAAGTCTGGCTGTGGTGTGCAAATTACAGAGGCACGGCCAACCATCTCCTTCCACTTGCTGAAGAACTCCTCCCAGAATCTGTGTGGATTTAGCGCATCAAGAAATACAACTGACAATGATCTAATTGGGGCTGGTCCTGCTTTGAGCAGGGGGTTGGACTAGCTGTGACCTTCTGAAGTCCCTTCCAACCCTCATTTTCTATGAGTCTATGAATATAAAATAAGGTGATTAATAATAAAGTAAGAGCAGATATTACAAACCTATTCTGGACAATGTGGGGAAGTACATACTTCACAGACAAAGATATTTTTGTGAACTACATATATTAAACAATTTAGCTTTTTTTTCTGCTGGACACTATGGGCGTGTCTACATGTGCATTAATGCACTTTAGCTAACATGCATTCAATCTAGTACCTCCACTGTGAGGTACCAGAAAAATGTGCAGTGGCCTATTTTAACATGCATTAACTAAGAAGCACGGTTTGTTTATGTGACACTTTAATAATGTACGCTAAAATAGGCTAATGTACATTAAAGCGCACGTGTAGATGCACTCTGTGTATTATTTGAGTTGCAGTAGTACTAGAGATCAAAGTTGTGTTGCATTAGAACATCCTTTGACATGACGTATGTAATCCATGGAAGGATGTTTCAGGTCCTCCCCCACTGCCCAATCCAATGAGGACATAAATCGATTACTGACCTGCTAGGGAGCTTTGATTCTTTAACTCCAGTGTAACAGCTCATGCATCAGCTCCAAAGGTCACTGGTTCAATTGCTTGCCTATCAGCCAAGATGGCAGCCATTAAATACGATATACAAACACACAAAAATATAGCAGCTTCTTCCCTGACAGCTCATCACTGAAGTCAATTTCCATGAAATGTTTAATTTAAAAGGGGGGCTTAGGATGCAAAGGTTTCTTATCCTGGCTCCACATAAATGCCCAACAAAAAGGCTCCTTGCAGCCTCGCTCACTTCACCGTGATGTGATGGAGGGCATGGTTGTATGCAAAAGGAGAGCTGGCACTGGCTGGGTTACCCGACTGCAGAAAGCCGTGCCTTCTTGCAATACGTCCCAGAGCTGAGGGCAGGGAAAAGAGATAAGTGAATTAATAAGGTAAATTAACGCCCACAAGAA